CAAGTGTTAGGTTGTTTTAATAAAATATATCAATATCCTAAATATTGTTGTTTTTTTTAAACCATTTTGCAAACAAGAGATTTTTAATTATACAATAAATAATTTAAATACATATAAAAAAATGCTTTTATCTGTTTTTGAAAAGGATATCTCTCGATTAAATATTATCATTGACAAAGCGTGAGATAGACCAGATTGATTAAAGTAGGCTCTTTGTTTTCCCAGGAGAATACTAATGTTATTTTAGCATGAACCCTCCTAAAGAAATGTTTAATATTAACTTCAATGTGTTTGCATGGGGGAAGAATAAGCACATGTTAAACACCTAAATTAGTGGATCAGATCACTTAAAGTGCTAAAAACAAAGCATTGCATACAGAAAAGAAAAATACTAACTTGGCTAATACTTTTCCTGTGACTAATACGTCACAGGATCCTTGTTGCATAAATCATGTGTTCATTTAAAGTCGACATGAGGATGAGTGGACCTGCAATTTCAACTTTGTCCACTTGATGTCACAAACATTACAATGACAATTCAGAGGCTGAGCTCGGGTGAAGGCTCATCCGACTGACATCCTCACATACACACACACACACACACACACACACACACACACACACACACACACACACACACACACACACACACACACACACACACACACACACACACACACACACACACACACACACACGCACACACACACACACACACACACACACACACACACACGGACTAAAATAAAAGCTGTGACCGCAACAGGCATCACAATGAATGACATTTATCACGGGTGTGTTGGATTGACGCTCTCAGTAGGAGGAGAGAAGCTGCAGGCGGCCCTGTGGCGTGAAACCTCTGCAGAACCTATTTAGAGAACCCCAGAGATCAGACACACGACCTGGGGAATCAGCCCCAGTCCCCCTTGTGTTCTCTCATCACCTGCACTTTAGCAAAGCACTGTCTAGACGTTCGCCCTGAGCTGATCCCGCTCTGAAACTTTGCGAGAGAACTTAAAAGTGAGTCATTTCGAGCGCAGATTCTATTGTAATGAGCTGATAACTGTGATGAAATGTACGCCTCAGCGGTAAACCTTTTTTTAATTAGCATTTGTACCTTTGGTGAATATAAATGTAGAATCTTAATGAGACTGATGCAATTCGAGTAGGTAGGCTGAGAGGTACTTATACACTTCTTTTTCTTGGAGAATATCTGTCTATTTCAAGAACCTGGCAACGGCTTTTTTAGCTTGTTGAGTGTTTAAGTGGACATTTCATAGGGAGAGTGTTGATCCGTCAATGTCTACTTAGATCAATCATTTTAAAAGCAACTGAGCCAATATTGCCTTTCAAGGGTTGTCTGCTCTTCAAGACTCTGCAATGTGACTGTGAATATTAAACAACTTGAGTATATGAATCATGACAAAGTGTTGGTGAGATGGAGCAGTCAATTGATGAATTAAATATTCTATATTTTTGGGAAATATGAGTTGGTTTATAGCTTATAGCATAGGTTAGCATAAATACCAGACACAGTGAGACACAGCTCGTTCTGTCCAAAGGTAACGTCCCTTAAGCTCCCTTTATTACACGCTACATCTAGTTCGTTGACTCGTACAAATAAAAGTGTCGAAACAGGAGGTTGTGGTTTAACCGAGGATGTGTGTCAAGTGAACCCAAAAAAGGCTAATTTGAACACCTTGGTTTTGTATGAATTAACAAACTAAATATGACGTGTTGATAAATGAACTGCTGGTAAGAGGACGAAAAAGTAGAGAATGGAATCAGTTTTCTAACGTAACTCTTGGCAAGGAAGCAAGGAAGCAAGGAAGCAAGGAAGCAAAGAAGCGTATTTTCTCCAAAATGTTGAACTATTCTTTTAAAGTGGAATTTAGGGTATCTATCCACAGTGGGAGCTCATGGAGAGTTTAATATTTAGAGATGTGTTTTTCTCACAGCATGGTTCTCACATTGGTTCTCACAGGAAAGTGATAAAGCTACAAATGATGATGATTTTGTAAATTATTATGCATTAATGTAGACGAGTAAACCACTCAACCGCATATGAAGGAGTTTGAATAAGCACATCCATAGACATCTACAGTTGTAAAAGGCATTATACACATTAAGGCAGCAGTAAATGAAATGCAAAAACATCATGTTTAACAGTTAAACAATAGTTTACTGCAAAATGAGCATTTATATACTTTTTGTTAAAGGTACCATATAGTTATAAGTGAGATTTCTATGTCTTTTGTATTATAAGCAGTTCTATGGCCATATAAATACTGTACAAGTGTCTAAAGAAATACGCACTGCTTTTGTTCAGAAACGTTGCCTTTGTAAAAGCTGTCAACACCTCCTTCCTAAGGTTATCACAACTAAACATTTATAGGTAGAAAGTAATAGTCCTTACTGGCATTCCCCAATGGCAATGACTAAGAAGCGACACTGCAAGCGAAGATGCAGAAGGCATGGAACAAGTGACCAAAATGAGCAGACTCTTTAAAACTGGGCGTTTCAGAACAAGGTTAAAAGCAGGTATATTTAGACAGACATTATGAGAACATCTGTGTTAATAGAAACCCAAAATGCAAGTGTGAACTCAAAATGAGTTCCTTTAGGTGAGGTTAGGTGAGGTTTTGAATGCAGGTCTTTAACTTGTAGGCAAGTATCAGTCTACACAGATACTCTGTAGGGCGTCAGAGAAAAGACGTGAAGATCTCAGAATGAAATACTGCACACACTAAGTACCTCTGTAATCTGTTTATCATTGACCTGTTGAGACCCGTCTGTGAGTGCTGTCTAACATCTGAACTATCCATGACACCACAAGCCTCGTACTGGCTCCTGTGCATTTCCTGACATGACAGACAGGTGCTTCTGTGTCGCTTCGCCCCGCCCCCCCTCCCAGTGCAGCATGAGATAAGCTGCAGGGAACGCTAACTCCATAATAGCACTTAGAGGCCATGGCCATTAGCTCTAAATAACACTCTTGCCGTGCAAAGCACCGTCGTCGACACCATAATGGCCACATTAACGAGCATTACACAGCCATTGGTTTTTAGAACCGCTTACTGCCACTGAGCTCATGCATCATAACAGCGTGTTCTACACTACGCCCCATGATAGCTGAGCATTTTTTTTTTGTGTTGACTTGGTAATTTGGCTTCCATTTTCTCCCCTGCTTGTCTTCCTTTTCTCCGTTGTTGCTGCTTATTTTCCGCTCTGCTTCCAATTGTTACTCACCTTCTCTCTGTTCTATTTGTTTAATCTGTTCCTTTCCCTGTTGGACTCGCTGATAGTCATCGTCAAACTGCGCCGATATCCTCCCCACCCTTCATTCTCTGCCTCTCTCACTTCCCCTCGCTGCTCATATCAACACTACGGAGATATATTTTCGGTGAACACATATTATTTTGCTTTGTCTCCTTCCTTCTCCCTCTTGCCTCACAGTGTTTTCTTCCGACGTGATGCTTGAGAGGATCTGCCCATGTTCTTTTTCATTATGCAGATGAAAGCACATTTTCCTGCCAAAACCATCTCATCTCCTTCCATAGTTGGAAACAATAGTCACTAGAGATCAAAATAACTTTCTAAACAACATCAATCCACTAGTTTAATGAAGTAAATGGACATATGGGGTGCACTCCTTTTATCCGTCCCTGCGTCCACACTTGAGACGAGCGCATGGCTGGGTGCTGAGTTAGGAGAGAGGCAATTGAGTTATTCTCAGCTGTCAGGCTGTCTCCTGTCTAGACACTGGGTCAGATGATCCGGAAGATTTGAGTGTCAGCTGCTTAAACACGAGAAAACTTTGGGATTCAACACGGGATTAACTATATCAGGCCAAGTTCTGAAACCGTGTTCAATTCAACTTTTTGCTCATAGATATACAGCAAATCATCAGAAGAACAGAGGAGCCTTTTCTTATCTTGAATTGAACAGAGTGTATGAGAGCTAAGTTTCAGAAAGGAGTTTAAAGCCTGCAAAAGTTAAACAGTAAATAGAAATGAGCAACTCTTGTCTCAAATACTCCAGAGAAGACTGTTTTATTTGATAGCATTGCTTCATCCTAATCCCGTTCTTACTCTCTGTATTATGCAATTGGAATAATACTCATTGGCTAATTGGCTAAATGTGCTTTGTGTTTAGCTGATTATACGAGAAACAAAACGGAAGTTAGGCAATAAAAGCTGTCATTTCATTTAAATGATAAAAAGTCCCTCATACATCTGCAAAAACGCCCAAATGAACCTCTCAATCTTCAATATCAGCACAAGTACAGCACATCTTTCCGGCTGTATCCAGTATAGTCGAAGGACTTGTATTAGTCATTGCTTCCTAGGTACGACAGAAACATCTTATCTCATATTTCCTCAGTCATATGTTTTTTCATTCTTTCCCCTGCGGCTGCCAGACTTACCCCTTTCACAGGTTTTAAGATCCCATGTTGAGGGATTACATTAATCTGATTAAAATGAAAAAAAGGTAACAGCTACACATTTAAGCTTTTCACAGTAATCATATTATAGATGAAAAACACACAACTGCTCAGAGAGACTGGTGGTTCAAACATGACGACAGTATGTGTCACAGGTGCTGTCCATGGAGCTGATCCCACTGAAGTCCCAGCTGCAGGATCAGCTCCATGGACAGCGCTCATGGCATTTCCATCGTGAAACTACGCTGTGGGCGCCGTTATTTTGAGCTATAACAATGTGGGTATTAGGTCTATTACAGTACAGTATGTTTGAGTTATTTAGGAGGTAATGGTTGGTGTGTTTTTGTTGCAAATGCCACCCTATTATTGACTTATTGTATTTTTGTATTTTATTATATGTGTTGGATTGTTGGAGGAGCTCAGGTCATAAGATTTGAATTGCCATTTCTACACTATAGCCTTGTGCATATGACAATAAAACCTTTGAATCTTGAATCTTTTGCCATTAATTCAGAGCTGTTCATCATCACTGGCTCTCTTTCTCTTCCGGCTCTAGCCTCCATTGTGGCCCAGAAGTGGTGGTGCCAGATGCATCCCTGTATGGACGGAGAGGAGTGTAAAGTCCTGCCTGACCTGACCGGCTGGTCCTGCAGCACCGGCAACAAAGTCAAAACCACCAAGGTGAGAGAAACACCTGTGTTTGTTTGTATTTTTTATGCATTTGTAAGTTCGGGCCTTCTTGCTTGTGTCTCTCTTTACCTCCATTTGTTTAAGTCAGTGGCTATTAACCAAGTTGGTCTAAAGGTACCCCAAAGCACTGTCAGATGTATTCATATTCCCCTTCATAGATGATCATTCATCATATATCAATGGATATTGTTAAGTAATTCCTTACAATTTAATGGTGAATATTTAGGTTTGTTTGGTCATGAAATACTACTATTACTACTAAAACTATAAGGAAACCATTTCATAACTTCAAGCAAACTGTTCAAATGTATATTCACAGTTACTTTTAGACAAATATTTGAACAGTTTATCAGTTAATGTTGATGTTAATGTTGCCAAATCTTAGCTAGCTATTTCAGCAATTCTTTTCAATAATCTTAGCTAGTTTCTTTCAACTGTTTTTCAACTAACTTGAGCCTACTCTTAGCTACCGTTATCAACCAATAATCAACTACTGTAACCCACTTTAGGCTAACTATTTCAAACATTTGACCAATACTCTTTGCTAAATTGGTTCACCGTGTGTCAATTATATTAGCCTACCTTTAGCTACTTATCTTTCGATTTCTTTAACTAATATCTTAAACTATTTAAAGTCTTTCTGTATGACTTGAATCCAATTGTTTGACATTTTAAATCAGTACTTTTAGCTCACTACTACAACCACATTACATTACATATTCTAACCATGAACACTTATGAACTACCTATATAAATAAACTTGACTTGCCTTACAGCTTATCATTTGAACTGTCACCATTGGTACTTCTGCTTACTACCTGTTTAAAGTTGTTGTGGTCGCTTGATACGTTTCCCCTCCATCCTACCTGCAATATGTTGTGTTCAGGTGTTAAAGTTGACTTAATGTTAATATGAGTCTTATAAAACATTCCCTTTAACGTCACTAATATTTGATGTAGCTCAAACTGACCTTCATCTTCAATTTAATTGATTTTTTCTTTCCTTTGAAACATGGTGCGTCAATAAGGACGGTAAACAAACTTTCAACTGGATGCCTCGCATCGCCTATTAAAAATGACAGCATTTGAAAAGGGAAAACTCAGAGGTGCATACAAAGTCATTGAAAGATAATCTCATAAAGGAAGGTTGTTTCCATCTTCAACATGTCCACAAATTATTCATCCACTTCTAACACTAATTTCAAACGTAAACAACAAATTACAATGAAACTGATACACAGCTAATCAGAGCAAGCTCTCCCCATAGAGACGTTTTAGTTAATCTGCTGTACTGTATCTCCTCGGGCGGGGGTGACAAAAAGCGAATGGAGGAAACACAGGACCCCCGTACCCTCTGCACCACAGACGGCCACTGTGTGATGCCATGTAAACTGACGCTATTCAGACGAGATAAATTGATTTAAATGAGAGTCCTTCATGGCCCGTTGTCAGCTGTTGATGTGTGAAAGTTAATTTGCGGGACTGACGACCCGTGTGTGTGTGTGTGTGTGTGTGTGTGTGTGTGTGTGTGTGTGTGTGTGTGTGTGTGTGTGTGTGTGCGTGCACGTGCCAGAGTGCTCTGTTGTGGGATAGAACAGGTGCAGTTTATGTACAGGTGAAGTATAAAAAAAAGAAACAATTGAGGAGGAAGCATCGCAAACGCCATAAGAGTAATTACTCGAGAGATGGTATAACAGCACAACATCTGTTGCATTCATTAGAATGCATTATGGCGGGGGTCTTCCACGGGGGCCTAACAATTAAGAGTCATAATTAAATTGGCGAGTGGGGTAGACTGAGGAACAGAGGCTCCGTCACAGGCACTGCAATTAATGACCCTGGGTCTAACACCAACTCTGGGACCCGTAGGTGCAATTATCCCCATTCTGTTGCATCATGTCTTCTTCTTCTTCTCCTCCTCCATCTTTTTTTTCTTTCTTCTTCTTATACCCTTTCTTTCTGTTTTGTCTCACCCACTCTCTCTGACTAGCCGATCAGCTACGAGAAAAAAAAGGAGCCGATGGCGGACTACGTCGGTGGACAATAATTGTGCATTTGCAAGGTGCTTTGGGACCGGGGAGCAGTTACTTGGAGACTTGATGGCAGATGTCACTGAAGATGTTTGCAATGAGCCATCGATTCCCTGGCAACTGCATGGCCCTGCTCCCTCTGTGTCCGTCTCCTTTATCCTGCGTCTCTCTTTTGTACCCATGACCTCCTTTTACCATCTCAGCATCCTATTCACCGATGATCTGTGTCCGTTCATCTCTTTCACTCCCACACAGCGTAGGTGGTGTGCTATGGAACCATGCATAGATTGCCTGACTGAGAAACCAGAGCGCTGTTAAAGAAAGAGAAAGCTTCATATGTGTGGCTCAATGGAAAAACATTTACAATATTCTCAGGACTAAGACTGTATTTTCTCAACATATTAGCATGTGTCTTTATTATGAATTCACACTGGATGAGGTTTGTTGACGGTAAACAAGCTCTGTACATCTTCAATTATACGCCTTCCAGACTAAGTGTAAACAGACCATTACAGCTCGGAGACATGTGAAATCCAGCTTCTGTTGCGACACTGTTACTCCTGGCAATCAGTCAGCCGGCCAGACTGCAAACAAACAATTCAAATCGAATGAAAATGACACAGAGACAAAAAATGGAGAGGAAAATAGTTTTATGTTGAATATTCTCCTGACCTCTGATTGACTCTTCCTAAAGGAAACATTCATTCAGGAAGGGCGAAGTCACTCTGTGTAATTACATGTCTCACTGACATTGATCCTCCTGTCTTATCTGCGGTATTGTTTTTTTTTTTAGGTCACACGATAGCAAGAGAGCCGCAGAGCCACGAGGAAACCTGAAACTCTCCATGTGGAAAGGATGGATGACTCACACACATTTACTGTACGATGGGGAACATATCAAGGAAAGGACAACTGTCAGACCATCCATCACATAACAATGGGATAAAATGTACTCATCACAAACAATGTACACATGGAGCCACACACAGCAGTATGCTGCTTGTCGAGACCAATGGACTACAATCATGGACACCCAGGGTAAATCTGGACACAAATGGACTCTTATTTTCCAGTAATGGACAAAATGTGGACTGATAAAAAAAAAGGGTGATAAAGCATTTCAAAGTATATATTTCAACAAAGCATTTATGGATGAGTGAGACATGAGAAGTGAAAGCTGTGCTCTGAGTGCTGCTGGATACGCTCCAGACGTGTTGCTAATGTCTTTTACTGGAGACAGTGGAGATGATTTGGGAGAAATTAGAGAGATAGCAGCTCATAACTAGCAAATAGCAAATTAGCATCAAATTGCTCTTGTGGGTCAAGTGACTACCATAAAGACTGTTTTGCGGGAGTCATTTTGCAGTTCTAATTAGGAATTGCAGTGTAGGATCATAACAACATATTAAAAATTCATGTAAGATATTTGCACTAGTTGAAAACCATTTGGGAATGTTTTGTTTTTCTAGATATCTCCCATCTTTTGCTGTGGATGTCACATGAAATTGAAGGTGAGCATTTTGTAAAATGTCCGACAGTTGAAGTAGATAAATATAAAGTATATATCTTGCCCCATTATTCCTGAGTAGTTATTGGTTAAAAATGGCTGCGACTATGGAGCCTCATTTACATGCAGCTTGGTACAATATGAACTAGGAAAGCGTGATTCATCCGTCTCACTTTTGTCCAGAAGCATTTCCAAGCTCCGCCTTCAAAGTTATATATCTTTGATCTATTATATATTCAGTCTGTGACATCTCTTATGTTAACTGTTAAAAAGGAGGCCCATAAAATGTTGAAACAAGAAGGACGAGTTGTCTTCATGTTGTTATTTCTCTTTGTTAGGAGTGCTTTCTTTCTCTCCCCAAAAGTGCAGGTTCTTAAATACACAACAAAGGTATGAATAGGGGTCTTTTTAAACTATCTTTATTTTATGTTTTTGTGTGCACATTGCCCATTGATTGGACCTGGACCTCCCTCCACATCAATGCTTCAGTGAGATATACTGAAATAATTGCCGTCGATAATGGCGGTTCAACCCTTTGCAAACATGTTTTTTTTCCTCCACAGGGCTGGATCATTACTGCACTGAGTACAATAGCGTAGTAGCGCCCTAAACAACACCCTTAAATCTCTCAATTATCTCCGTCCATTCTCTCTCTCACACACGCCTGTCTTTGAATCTTTCTCCCTTTTGCCCATCGCTTTCCTTTCTGCCACATTGCATATCATATATTAGATGGCCCAGTTAAAATATTTGTATCATTTCATCTGTTCGAACCAATGGGCTTCGTTTTGCACTTTCCAAAATCCATTTTTCTCTCGTAGACACACATCGAATTGCAAGTCATTCTTGAACTGCCTCTCTGATATGTGAATGTGTTATAGGGTCAGTGTGCCCAGGGGTTAGCCCGTTGGGGCCGGGGCTTCTCCTCGGTGAGTGAGAGCCTCTGCTTTCAGACATGCTGCTTTGTGAGCTATGATAAATCTGTGGGAGCTCCAGTGCTGAGCTCAGAGCCAGAGGGAGCGGGGGGACAGCAGGGATAGTACCAGGCAGCTCCACTCTCTCATTACTGAGAGGCCTGGATAGCACTGGGCTCCTCCCGGGACCACTGACACGGAATATTTTTAGGCCTACGGTGCAGCACTGCAGTTAGGCCAGTCACACCACAATGCCCTGTTTCCTTGAGCAGTGTCTCGGCAACAACAACTGTCCATTTAGAGGATGACGTTCTGCTGCAAACACACCTACATAGACAATAACTTTCACAAACCTCCCATCTACCCACACAGCTATACTAATAAGGGATAATAGGAATCAGCAGAGAAAGGCAAGATGTCTCCGGAGCTGTGCAGCATTAAACCATAGAGGGCTCTGTTTCCTTTCCTCCCTCTCTCTGCCTCCTCCCTCCCCTTTCTTCCCCTCTCTTTCCATCTCTTCGTCTTTACCCCAGAGGTTTGGTGTTCTGTAGATGAGTCTGGCGCCTTGCCCCCCCCCCTTCCTATATGGCTCTCTGCAGCAGAATCAATATTGGAGGACAATTTGCGCCACGCTGCTCCCTGGTGGCTGGGGTTTGACGCTGCAGCTCCACCCTCGGACGGAGAGGACTCGCCTCAGACAGATTCACAGCTCGTCTCGGGTCACCGCTATTTAACAAGAGAATCTGCAAAGTGCACCGTACATATATTTACAGCTGCTGCAGTCTGGCCACCCCTGCAGCACAGCAGACACACACTCCTCGGCCGTTTTTTGCCAATTTACGAGAAGGGAGACAACTGAACCGGCTAAGGCCCCAAGGTATCGTGGAGGGATTTCATATTACCATATTCACCTTTAATGAGTTGTTACATAGCATGAAAATGTAACAGGCATCAGAGTCTATCCATGGGTCAATAGATACGTTCTTTGTAAAAAAACAAACAACACTAAATCCACATTTAAGATTATTGTTACGAGCTGGCTTCAGAAATGAGGACATAAATATACTTACTGTATGAGTTGTGCTTACAGACACATTCATTCTCCTTGCTTTTTAACTCGAAGTGGATGTTTCTTTAATGTGTCGGCGGGGGTCTAACCTCCCAAATGTCCCATGGAGACTGGTTGCTTTCATCTCCACGGGTAAGCAACTGGTGGTACCCAGAGGCCAGTACCCACAGAGGCAAATAAACAGCATGGAGGACATGACTGCAGAAAAAGATGCTAATGAGGATTGGCAGTTTCTGAGAGAAAGGAAACAGAGGAACGCTGATACCTTAAAGAAAAACCCAAAATAGAGAGGTATACTGTTTGAGAGAGATGGAGCGTGTGAAGAGTATTTTAAGTGTCTTTGTTTATGCGTGAAGTCTGGGTGGCTCCTGAGAGGCCACTTGCAATCGTCAAACCAAACGCCTCCAATAGTCCATCCTCGTCGGCAATTCACACAATGGGTACCTAGAGAGGAAGAAATAAAGGGATGAAACATCATTGTCTTTGCTTATGCATCATCTTTTGTCAAGTCCAATTTGTATTAGCCTCCAGCCATATCCGGGAAATATGAGTTCAGGATTCATGTTCAGTGAGAATGGTAATCTTCAGATGAAGTGACTCTGTCAGAGGGGGGAAGATGTGTGACAACTTGAGTCAGCTGGAGGAAAAGAGAGCGTTATGCCATTGCAGAGGAAACGGGCTCCACCTCCTGCTGTCTGAAACTGACATTGATATAATGTAAGTCAGAGGGAGATTAGCTAATGAAGACGATCTGATCGGTGTTAACAGTGCCGGGTCGCAGCAGCTGCATGGGCATGTCACTGTCACTGAATTCAGAGAGAACAAATCAACTCAAGCCAAAAATCTTTCCTTCTACAGATCACATCTATTTAGCGCAATAACTGTGACATAATTACTCAAATCTGTGCTCAAAAGCTCTCAAAAATACACGATTAAAACCCCATATAATGGCATCGAGGACTTTTACCATCACTCATCTCAATCGAGTACACAGTGGCCTTCTTCACTCAGTATTCTGGTGCAGCGTGTTGGATTAGTGCAACATGGTCACGTGAAATTATTGGCTGGTTAGCCGTCAGGTGGTGATGTGGGGATTAATTGCATTAGCTCCACTCTCTTACCCAGCATCGAATATGTGACAAAAACACCACAACGCAGCCCATTAAAATTCAATGAAACCAAACAAAAAAACCAGACAAACAATCAAAAGTGCCTTTAATATTCATTTTGCGGCAGGCCTGCGACGGGCCGATATTGACGGTGGAGTGAGCAGGGGACTCATTAACATCTCCTCCCTCGCTGCTTCCTGAGCCCTTCCTTGCTGCGTCGTCAAACTCACTTATCTCTCTGAAGCAATTAGCCACTGGAGGCTCCATTGACCTGAGCTTTTGTTAGACTAACGGGCGGCATTAGCATGGCCGCGGCCTGGCAGTCTTGGCAATGCATGTGTCGGTGCCAATGTGAGCAGCGCTGATAAAGAGGAGCCCTGCGGTGTGCACGTGTGTGTGTGTTTGGAACAGCACTGGAGCTACATACATGCATAGCCACTATTGTGCCATTTGTATTAAGAGAACCTATACTCTTTATGTATCTGTGTACAATACTGTGGTGTAGTCGTGTTTGCAAAAGGGGGATTTAAATGGCCAATGTAAGCATTTCATATCTGTGTGTAAATGTAATTTCCCCTGCCTTTATGCTACAACATGCAAAAAATTCAAGAGCTGAATGCACTGATAATGTCAACAGCAGCTCCGTCTCCAGCAATATATATTTCCATACAATATCCCTATTGTATTCATGGTATTTTGTGCGGACATGCGCCAGAAGTAACAGATTCAATTTTGCCCACTGAAGCTATAAGATTACACACATATAAACATGACAATGTGATGGGTTCCAGTGCTTGCAGGGGGAAAAGTGTTGCTTGCTGGCGCTGCTGCACATATGACTAAAGACACCATAGTGTTGTGCGTGGCCCCGGGCACTTCGCTGGCGAATATGGTATGGTAACACTGCTATTTAGAGCCTGTTTCTAATTTGAAGAAATTGCATTTACTTTACAGTCACGCTGCATTTTTGTCAGCCACGTAGCAAGCTCCCTGACATCTTAGAACAAACAGCCTCCACACGAAGATGACACACAAATCTGAATTTAACTATCAGACAAACAGCCCCCATTTATGCTAAGTACATAAATAGCCTTCTACTGTAGTAAGTGTTTCAGTGTTTACACCAATGACAACAATAGCTAAGTATGCATGCATTATTCATAATTAATTATTCAAATGTGCAACTCCTTCCTTATTTACAGAAATTAATGTTTTGTTTTCCCGAGAAATGCTTTCTGTGTGGTACATTGGGTGGAGACGCAACGCCCTAATACATTTCCCTGTCAGGTGAGGTACGGAGAAAGTGATGAGACAGAAGAAGGGAGGACCAAACACACAGAAACCATTAGTTCCACTGTCTCCGTGGCCTGCTGCTGCAAATGTAAAATCATTACTAGCAGAGACCTCACAAGATGTACAATGTTGTGGTTTTTGTAGTATGAGGGAGAGCCAAACCCCTGAGCCTCCCTTCCAGCTAGCCTCTGTTATGGAGAGAC